CGACGACGACGACGACGACGACGACGACGACGACGACGACGACGACGGCGGCGGCGGCGACGACAACGATGACGACGACGCTATGACGACGACGACGACGACTACTACTACGACAACGACGACGACGATGACGACGGAGCCGACGATCACGGCGACGACGACAACGACGATGCCGCCGCTGACCACGACGACGACGGCGATGGCGACATCGAACGCGACGATGACGACGACTGTGACGACGATCGCGACGGTCGAGACGACGATGACGGAGGAGCTATTTCTGGGCTTGCTGGGTGGGTGTCCTCGCCGTCACGGTTGCATGCTCTTCGAAATAGTGGTAAGAGTGCGCTTGGGGAGAGGTCGAGAAGACGACGGCAAGGACGAGGACGAGGACCAGGACGAGGACGAGGACGAGGACAACGACGACGACGATGACGACGACGACGGCGAGGACGAGGAGAACGAGGGCGAGGACGAGGACGATCGCGACGACGACGACGACGACGACGACGAGAAGCCACAACTAAATAACCCGCGGACATGTCCTGGAGCGCGTTCTGAGCCTGATTTCGGGCGGAGCTTGGCCTTGCAGCGAGGCCCCACACGCGGAATACGTCACAACCCCTTCCCCCCTGCCGACGACAGGCCGGCATGACGATCACCCACGCATCCGACTTCGTGACTGTTTCAAGGCGTCGGTCCCTGGAGCCCTCGACCCCAGCCCGGGGGCCCGATTTTTGCGGCGGGTCGCTTTCTGCTTATCCTGGAGCCCGGAGGGGGGGCCCTCGGACGCCCAAACTTTGAAAGCCAGCCACCAACGACGCGGGCCTCTGGATCCGTCCTGGAGCGCTTCCGACGAGCTCTTCGAAGCGAGCCCAGACGAGGCCCCTTGCGAAGCCCAAAAAGCCCCCAAACGAGAATACAAGACGAACCTCGACGACGACGACGACGACGACGACGACGGCGACAGTAATGACGATCACGTCGACGTCGACGACAACGACGACGGCGACGACGACGACGACGACGACAACGACGACGACGACGACGACGACGACGACGACGGCGACAGTAATGACGATCACGTCGACGTCGACGACAACGACGACGGCGACGACGACGACGACGACAACGACGACGACGACGACGACGACGACGACAACGACGACGACGACGACGACGATTGACGACAGCCACCTACATACTTCGACGCAAGCGCCTTCGGTCGCGCCACGGCGCCGGACGCCCACGGGGACGGCTAGCGCCGCGACGTCTCCCGGCGGCCTCGCCGACCGGCGCCTCCTGCTCCGCCTCTTTTCCTCCTCCTTCCTCCTCCTCCGCCCCTCCTCCCTTCTCCTCCTCCTCCCTCCCCTCCTCCTCCTCCTCGCTCCCTCCTCCTCCTCCTCCTCCTCCTCCTCCTCCTCCTCCTCCTCCCTCCTCCTCCTCCTCCCTGGCCACGCGGCGCGCGGCGCACGGCGTCGGCGTCCGGCCCGCCCGCCGAGGTGGAGCGCGTCGTCCGCGCGGGCGCGCCGCTGCTCACGCTGTACCCTCTCGAGGCCGCCGGGCGGGTCCGACGGCGACGCCGACGACGGCCGCGGCGACCACGAAGGCGCCGACGTCGGGCGGCGGCGGCGGCGGCGTTGGCCACGACGGCCACGGCGGCGGCAACGGCGGCGGCCACGGCCGGCGGCTGCGACGACCACGGCTTCGCTCGGCGACGGCGCTCGGCGAAGGGCCGCTCGGCGGAGGCGGCGCTCGGCGGCGGCGGCGGCGCCGGGCCTATTGGGGGCTTCTTCGGGGCCTATTGGGGCCTCCTCCTCCTCCTCCTTCCTACTCCTCCTCCTCTCCTCCTCCTCCTCTCCCTCCTCCCCTCCTCCTCCTCCTCCTCCTCCTCCTCCTCCTCCTCTTCCTGGGGGCCTCTTGGGCACTCTTGGCGCCTCCCGGGGCCGAGAGCACGAAAGGTCCACGCGGATTCGGGTCCTTCCTCGGGGGCCCGCCCCTCGTGGGGCTGTCTTGAGGGCCCTCTTGGGGCCGTCTCGGGCGCCTCTTGGGCCGTGTTGGGGCCTTCTCGTCTGGGGCCGTCGTGGGGCCCTCTCAGAGGCCTCTTGGGCTGTCTTGGGGCGGTCTTGGGGGCCTCTTGGGCCGTCCTGGAGCGTCGGGAAGCCGAAGAGGCGAGAATCCCCAAATATCGGTCAAAAACCACAGAACATCACTTGCTCCTCTTGGGAGGGGCGTCTTGCGGGCATCTTCGGCCGTCTGGCGGCCTTTTTGGGCGTCTTGGACCGATCGTTCGACGACTCGGGACCCTCTCCGGCCGTCTCTGGAGCCTCCTAGGGTCCTCTTGGCCCATCTTGGGGCCCTCTTGGCACCCCAGCAGGGCGCAGGACCGTCTGGGAAACAGGGGGCCCACGCTTTTCTCGGGCCACACGAAAGGGGGGGATTGGGAAAGGGGGGGTTACGAAATTTGCTGCATGCAGCTGGTTTCGGCCTCATCGAGGGGCCCATTCCTCGATACATAGTCGCCTCCGGCGCCCGGAGGCGCCGGGAAAATCAGCTGCGTGAGCTGATTCTCCCCCCCCCCCTTTGCTATCCCCCCCTTTCGCCCGACCCGATTTTCAGAGCCCGTGAGACCCGCAAGCCTTCTGCCTCGCGGAGCTGCACGAGCCTCACGGCGCTCTCCACCACGTGCCGAAGGCACGGTGGCGGCTATTTGTATTTGTATTGGGGGGTTCGTCCTGGAGGCACCTAGGGAGCGCGTGCGAGCGTCAGGCGGCGGCGTTGGCGGCGTCGGCGTCGGCGGCGGCGGCGACGGCGACGACAACGTCCAGCCAGAGAGCTCCAGAGGCCCCCAGAACCCACGGAAGTTTCCTGGGAGCAGTTTGTTGGGGTTCTGGACGTCCTCGGTCCCCAGAGGTTCCTGGAGGTCCCAGAGGTCTCCTCCCAACTCCACTGCACTCCTCACCGCTCCCCCCGACTCCCCACTCCATCGCACTTCTCGGCCCTGCTCGGCACTCCTCGCTGCTCCTCCCGAATCCCCCCACTCCCACAAGAGCTCCTTACCCCACTACCATTAAGTCGGGCGTGTTCCCCTTACAAGGGCATTTTCGACGATAAATAAGAAGACTTCAAAAATGCCCCGAAAAGCTCAACAAACACTGACAAAAATAGTCCCCAGACAATTTTTGCATTATTTTTGGATTTTTGTGAGGGTATTTTTTTATTTTTCGTCGAAAATCCCTCTACCCCCCCAGGCCCGCGAACCTACACACATGGGGGGGGGGGGGGGGGGCGCCCGCCGGCGCGCCCGGCACGAAACCGCGGGGGGAGAGAGAAGCGGCTTCCGTGTCGCTGGCGGCGCACCGTGGGTGCGCCTGGTGCGAAGCCCCCCCCCCAGAAAGGCGGGGGGGGGGCTCATGCCACGTGGCATCGCCGACAGACGCATAGACACATATATCAATACATACATACATATATATACACATATGTATATATTTAGATGTGTATATATATACACATCTATATAGAGAGAGAGGGAGGGCGTGTCGGGCGGAACGCCCAGACCGACCCGCAGACGCGTCCGAGGAAGCGCCGGGCGGACGGAGAGGCACGGGCCGCTCCCGGAGGGCCTGGCCTCGGAGGGCCCCCAAGAGGGCAGTCTGGGGCGGCATCGCCCCGCGAACGGCCGCCAGGGATCCGAGATCTGAGCCGACAGCGAGGCCGCCTCGCGGCGCGGAGACCTCCTCGACGGCATGTTTTTGGCCGCGTTCCGCCTCCTCCTCCTCCTCGTCCTCCTCCTCCTCCTCCTCCTCCCTCTCCTCCTCCTCCTCCTCCTCCTCCTCCTGTCCTCCTCGTCGCCTCCTCTCCTCCTCCTCCTCCTCCTCCTCCGCCTCCTCCTCCTCCTCCCTCTCATCCGCCTCCTCCTCCTACTCCTCCTCCTCCTCCTCCTCCTCCTCCTCCTCCTCCTCCTCCTCCTCCTCCTCCTCCTCCTCCTCCTCCTCCTCCTCCTCCTCCTCCTCCTCCTCCTCCTCCTCCTCCTCCTCCTCCTCCTCCTCCTCCTCCTCCCCCTCCTCTGGGGGCCCTCACGGGATCGCCACCTTTGGGGGCCCCCTTGGCCCCGAATCTCGGTCCACGGAGCGCTGCGGGGGAGCCGCTGGAGGCGGCGCGGGGCTGTTGAGAGTACGCAGAACTGCCTCGGGGAATTGTGGAAGCTGGACAGGGCCACGCCCGGGTGGTGTCTGCGCGCAGCCCCAGCCCATGCCAGCCAGGGATGGAGGAGGAGGGCGCTTAGGATGTGGAGGAGGAGGGGGAGGAGGAGGAGGAGGTGGAGGAGGAGGAGGAGGAGGATGAATAGGAGGAGGAGGAGCAGAAAGGAGGAGGAGGGAGGAGGGCAAGAGGAAGAAGAGGGAGATGATGGGAGGAGGCGAGGAGGAGGAGGAGGAGGAGGAGCAGGGAGGAGGATGAGTAGGGGGAGGAGAAGGAGGAGGAGGAGGAGGAGGGAGGAGGAGGAGGGAGGAGGGAGGAGGAGGAGGAGAGGGAAGAGGTGGAGGAGAGGGAAGAGGATGAGGTGGCCGAGTTGGCGGAGGAGTCGAGAGGAGGAGAAGGAAGGAGGAGAAACATATGTAGTTCTTGTTGTTTGCTCTCATCAGTATCGTACTCTTCCTCCTCCCTCCTCCCGCCCCCCTGCTGCCTCCCAGCAGGGGAAGTATGAGTGATGGGGATGCAGAAGTCCGATGCCTTGAGTCTTTTAACGCGTGTTCCTTCGAAGTCCCGAACCCTTCCCAGGCCCATCCTGAGCAGGCGTCGCCGCAGCCCTGGGGCCCGGCAAAGGCACCCCGAGGCCGAACACAGCGGAGAAACGTCCGCATTGCATTTTCAAAGACGACAGATGTCTGTGGAGGGAGGACGGTCGTGGCGAGGAGCAGAAAGCAGGGATTGGCCAGCCTGGAACAGATCCCTACCACTAAAGCTGGCATCGCCTCATTTCGATGCCGATCTGAAGGACTCCCTCTGTTCCTGAGGGTGCATCCCTAAAATGAACATTGCCTTTCAATGTGCCAATATTAGGGATAGGGACCTCCTCCTCCTCCTCCTCCTCCTCCTCCTCCTCCTCCTCGTCCTCCTCCTCCTCCTCCCTCCTCCCTCCTCCTCCTCCTCCTCCTCCTCCTCCTCCTCCTCCTCCATTCTCTCATCCTCCTCCTCCTCTTCTCTCATCCTCCTCCCTCCTCCTCCTCCTCCTCCTCCTCCTCCTTCTTCTCTTCCTCCCTCCCTCCCTCCTCCCTCCCTCCCCCTCCCTCCTCCCTTCTCCCTTCTCCCTCCTCCCTCCCTCCCTCCTCCTCCCTCCTCCCCTCCGCCTCCTCCCTCCTCTCCTCCTCCCTCCCTCCTCCTTCTCCTCCTCTCCTCTCCTCCTCCTCCTCCCCCTCCTCCTCCTCCCCCTCCTCCTCCTCCTCCTCTTCCCCCTCCTCCCCCCTCCTCCTCCTCCTCCTCCCTCCTCCCTCCCTCCCTCCTCCTCCCCCCTCCCCCTCCTCCTCGAGGCTGGCCGGGCATGGCGGCCGCCAGGACGGCAGCGTGGAGCCCGAGAGGGGCACCTGCCTCGACCTCGCGGTGCTGCACCGGCGGCACGCCGTGGCGCGCGCGCGCCCCGCCCGCGGGACGCCTGCGCACGGGCAGGGCAGCAGGGCAGTGGATACTGAGGAGGGCTCCCAGAGGCCCCCGACAGGCTCCCACGAGAGGCTCCCGGGGAAGGGAACCCTCCCCCTCCCCTCCCTCGAGTTTTTTTTTGGGAGGGGTCGCGAGGTGTCAGAGGGTCCTTTTTCCGGCCAGTGGGAGGGCCAACTTCTGACACCCCTCACGAGGATCGTGGCCCCCGAGGGGGGGACGCAGATCGAGTCCTCTTTTGACCGACCGCCTCCAAGATGGCCCCAAGAGGCCCTCCAGGGCTCCCAAGAGGTCCCCAAGAGGGCCCCACGAGCGCCCCAAGAGGTCCTAAGAGGGCTCCAGGAGGCCCCGAGAGGCTCCCACGATGACCTCCAAGATGGCTCAAGATAGCCCAAGCTGGCTCAATATGGCCCTAAAGATGCTCCAAGAGGCCCCAAGACCGCTCCAAGACGGCTGGAGATGGCCACGCGGCCTCCCCAGGAGGATCAGCGTTCCCTCGCTGTTTGACTATGCACGTCTCTTGGACCGGCTGGTTCCCTCGCTATTTGACTATGCGTGTCTTTTCCTCTCTCCCCCCGTCAGCTCTCATGGGCATCGTTTCTGGATGGGCTGGTGGGGATACTTTTTTTGTCGTCAGCCGCAGGCGAGAGCGCACAGCGGCGAGTCAGGGTCCGAGCGGGCCGCGCGAGGGCCGAATTAACAAAGCAGAAGCAGGCCCAACACCGCCACTCAGAACGGGACCAGGAGAGCCGAGGAGGGGGCGGAGCTGCAACACTGCCAGGGGCTGCAAACGAGGAGGGGAAAAAACACACAGACACAGTTAATCGTCGACGCCCGAGAAAATATGGGAAGATATGGGAAGTGGGGGGAAGACAAAAAACCCAGAGCATTTGGGGGAAACATCGAATTATTTTCTGTATGTCTTTTATTAGCAGCAGGGCAATTGATACGGTGGGGGCGTTCGTTGAAGGAGTGCGCCCAAGAGGCCGTGCAAATTGTTCATTTCTGATTATTCGAAAGTTCTCTGATTTTTTTGGGGGCCAAGATCCTTTCATTTCTAAGTATTCTGTCCTGGGCATCTTCCTGGCCACTGGGGGGCCAGGAACGATTAGAAACGAGCACAATCAGAAATGAGCACGATTAGAAATGAACGACGTGTAGGCCCTGGGGGAGTCCTTCCCTAACAGTGGCGGCGGTGACATCCATGGCCGATCCCTGATCGAAGTTCCTCTGGCTTCGAGACCCTGGATTCCTCATCCATGGGTTCCTGATCCAGTGCCCTCGCCGTGTAGACACATACAGTCGAACCGAAGAGGAACAAGCGGGAATAACATAAACTTGGATCCGGAGCGCGCCAGGGGCGGCGCTGGAGGCGCGAACAGTTTATGTTTGCGGCGTTGCTTGCTTCTTCTAGTCGAAACCGATCTTGAGGATGTGTAACCTTCCCAAGGGTACTCCTTGTATCCTTGCCTTTTCGGTCCATCCTGCACCCTTGTCGATGGCCGCGCCCCGCCCGAAAAGCTTCAACACGGATGTCCAAAGGGGCTTGCATCATCATCGCGCATCTTTACCATCAGTTCCCACTGGACCACCAGGGGGAGGGGTAATTACAGTCGAGCGTTCTATAAAGACACCTCCTCCCGAAAATCTGGGCCAGCGTTTCCGAGCCAAATTGCCAGAAAGCTGGCCCAGTTTCTTGAGCGCGTTTGCCCATCCAGCGTTTACACGATCGCTTGGCCCAGGCTTGCTCTAAGAAAAATCCTTGATGTTGGCCCAAATTGCTTAAGTGATTATTATTGACGCTTCGCGTATCCCCACCAAGTCTGACCGCCCTCCGGACTTTCCCTTGCGGGCCGCAAATCAAACAAGAATCCCCACCAAGTGGCGCTTCCGACGCTGGCACACTCCAGCCCGGGCTGCACCGGCACCGTTCGGCCACCCCCGTCTTTCTACGTGACTAATGCGGCGGTTGGCTGAACCCCCCACACGTGTATACGCTCTCGGCGTGCAGCTGCCATCCAGTTACGTATCTCTTGCGGCGGTTAGCTGCACCCCCCCTCTCCACGCCAAGTCGCACCTTGCGGGCTGCAGGAGCCCTCCCACAGCCGGTCGGCACTGTGGCTTCGGAAGGACGGCGGTGTCCCCCGAGGTGAGGGTGACTGTGACGGGTTGCCCTGCCAGAGTGATGCCTCGCCCGCGTTTCTCGGCGCCCCACCTTTTCCACCGGTACCGACTCGTCCGTCGGCCGCCGACAGCCCCAACAGCTCTATAGTGGCGTTCGTTGGCTGCGCGCTGAGTGGTCCAGCCTTCAGCGCCGACGGCCCGCTTTCCACCACCAGCAGCCGGTTCCCCGGGCTGGTGCCAGTTGTTTGTCTGGGGTGATGCTCGGAGCTTGGCGCCGCAAGGGCGACGTTCCGTAGCACCCGCACCACTGTGCGCTTGTTCTTTTGGACCGGGCGGCGCCTAGGTGCGTCACTGCGAATGTGGAGCATTTTGCTCAGTGCACGTGCGCCGCACCTTGTGTGCAATTAGCCTGTACCGCCGTCCCGGGTACGCTTGTTGCCGCCAGACCGTAGTCGCGCGGCCGCCGACCCCCCCCCAACAAAAAAAAAACCCTCCAACTCTCACCGCCAGCCTGTGTTCTGTTCGCGTCAGTCGCCATCCCTGGTCGGACGACTGCGGACTGCGCCCCCTCTCCCAACGGGGCTTTGGTGTGCGACCTTGCTGGCGCCACCACCTTCACCCGCCAGACCATCTAGGGCCTAACGCCGTGTTGCCCCACCCTGGTCGCACCGTGGTGCTCCTGCGCGCCATTTTGGCTGCGTTTCAGCTTCGGCTGGCCAATTCACGCGCACGCAATTTGTTTCTTGGTGGTTTTTGGCCCACCCGGCTCAGGCCACCCTGGCAGCCTCTCCAGTCACAGCGGCTGTCCACGTTTTGCATTCAATTCATTAGCTCCTTGCAGACCCTGGCAGTCGGTTACCCTGGCAGTCAGCATCTGCAGTTCGTTGCACGGTTGCAGCGCCTGGCAGTGTAAGACACTTGCGTCCGGCGCTGAGGCGAGAGCTACATGTTAAAAAAGACCCGCCCCCCATCCGTGAAATTGCCCGTCTTGTGCTTGCACTGTGGGGGTCCTAGCGGGTATGCCCGAATCGTGCTTGCACTGTAGGGTTTTAGCGGATAGTTGAATCTTTGGCGAAAGTTCGCCGCCGATTTCGGTACGAGGCCAGGTTCTGGATTCGGGTTCCCGCTTCTGGGTTCAGGATTGGTCGTGGCCAAAAATCGTTGCCGATTTCGGTGGGCGGCCAGGTTCCCAGGTTCTCGGTTATGGATTCCGGGATCCCGTCTCTGGGTTCCAGATTGGTCTCAGTGGGCGGTTGGTTTTGTTCGTCGCGCCACCTTTGTTCTCGACGTTTTCCTCGCCGCCTTGTCGTCGTTCGTCGTGTCGTCGTTGTGTCGTATTCGTCGTTGTCGTCGTCGTCATCGTTGTCCCCATCTTCGTCGTCCGCGTCCTCGTCCTCGTCCTCATCTTCTCGCGCTTTTGGATTCGGACGCCCTCCATTGTTGACCTTTTCGTTCGACTCCCCCCTTGCTCCGTTGCACCGCTCCTCCCCCTCCTCCCCCTCCTCTCCCCCTGCTGACCCCCATCCTTCCCCCCACACGATGGTGACATTCGTCGTCGTCCTCGTCGCCGTCGTCGACGGCGCCATCGCCCCCCCGAGCTAGGAGGACGACAGCGAGGAGGATGTGGAGCATGAGGTGGACAAAGACCCAGACACGTCGTGCCCTGATTTTCAACACGCGGTCCCCGAAAGTGCCGAACCTTTCCCCCGGGACCAGTGCTTCGTCCCGAGTCCTTGTTCTGCCGGCCCTGGGGCCCGGCGAGGGCACTCCGAGGCCGAACGTAGAGACGAGCCGCCCATCCCGACGTTTCAGGGCGCGAGCGCGACGAGGGCGACGAGCGCGACGAGGGCGCGCTTCAGAGCGCGAGCGCGTCCGCGAGCGCGTTTGGGAAGGCGACGAGGGCGAGAAGGAGGATGAGGAGGAGGAGGACGAGGAGGAGGCGGAGGAGGAGGAGGAGGAGGAGGAGGAGGAGAGGAGGAGGTGGAGGAGGAGGAGGAGGAGGAGGAGGAGGAGGAGAAGGAGGAGGAGGAGGCAGAGGAGGAGGAGGGCGAGGAGGAGGAGGAGGAGGAGGAGGAGGAGGAGAAGGAGGAGGAGAAGGAGGAGGAGGAGGAGAGGAGGAGGAGGAGGAGGAGGAGGAGGAGGAGGAGGAGGATTAGATTAGACAACGCCTTGAGAAAAGTCGGACGGTGAACACACCAAGGACACGCAAGGTTACTGCAATTATGCCATCGTCTGAGAATTGGTTTCTTTCGCTTTACTCTGGCGAGTAGGGCTGCCATTCTCTGCTCATACTGTGGGGCGGCGTCATTAGAGGAGAAACCTCTGGGGACGGACGACACAGACTGCACCTCTTTGGAACTGGCGAGGGTCGCATCAAGTCGAGAAATCGGGATGGCCTTATCTAAACGCTCCCGCAACCTTGGGTTAGGCCCTAATCCCCGACGGAACGCGTTCAACACCTCTAATCCCTTAGCAGTCGGTGTTTCACATGTCTTAGCAAGTTTGATCATCTTCCCCTGCGTCCAGCCATCACAGTTGAGACATACGAACTGTTGCTCCTTAACTTCAGTGCGTCCAGAACCCGCAACAGAACCCGAGGAAACACCAGAAACAGTAGCAAGAGCAGTTCCCGACAGCGACGAGAGAGTGGCCCTTGGGATCAGCGAGCAACTTCAATATAGCAGACGGCGTGCCTTGACAACCATCGGCTGGACGATCAGACGAAGCACTAACAATTCGACAGTGAGCACACTGCATCCCGAGCTTTGTGCAACGCCACAGGTGCCAACTCCTCTTGGCTCGGGATCGCTGTTGGCTCGTCGGAGCTGCACGACGCCACCTCATCT